ACGCCTGTGATGCGCTCTCCTAGAGGCTTTCATATCCGTGCTCATGCAATCTGCAGAACATCTTAAGGAAAAGAAAATTGAGCCTCTAAGAGGTTAACTAACGTGTCAAAGTCACACAGCCACCAGCAAGGGATAAAAGGCTCCTAGAAAAAAGTACACCTAGAATAAATGAGCTCTGACTTGGTAGAATCAAAGATCTTCCTTTATCCCCCCTTTCTGCTTCGTCCTCCAGGAACTAGTGGCCCAGTTTGGAGAAGGTGGTTCTCTTCCGTATACAACAACATCTCCCAAGGCAGACAAGGCCCTCCTTGATGCAGACCCTTACCTGTCTCGGAGTGGCAGCAAGCAGTCCTTCCCTTCAGGAGGGCACTGGGCTTCTCATGCCGGCAGACCAGAGCCCGACACCACTCACAGTGTTTTCGGACCTGGCAGCAGCTGCAGAGACACAGGGCACACGGTGTGGGTAGGAGCCTGGCAGGTGTGTCCAGCTGGTGTAGCATCTGCCCCAGGGATCTCCTGGGCAGCTCTGGCTTCTAAATCCATCTTCCCATGGGGACCTCCAGAGGGACAGATGTTGTAGGGGGCTAAGGGCCTTGCAGGGTGGGAATCCTTTGGGCAGATGCTGGCCAGCAATAAAAGCACTTGTTGCTATCCCCGAAGAACCAGCTCCGTTTCCACAGGCAAATCTGGCTCCAGCCCCCCTGACTATCAGAGGGATGGCCATGTATCCAGCTACTTTTCTCACTGAGAAGGGTTGGGTAACTTCATATACGTGGTAATGGCCTCACAAAAGTTGTCAGGATTGGGATGAAGCCGCCACCTCCAGTTGGCAGGGCTATGAGGGTTGAGGAGGAGGCAGATGTAAAGCAGAGAAGCTGGCTGGGCTGAGCTGACCAATGAAGAAAATGAGAGGATGACTCATGGGTTGCAAGGGCTTTCAATCCTTCACTGAGGATTCTAATTCTCTAGTTCTGGAAAACCTAACCTCTCTGTAAACCTGCGTCACTGGAGTCCAGGAGCATTCAGGGTTACGAAGGCTCCTGACTCCCTCTGGGAGCAAGAAGGAATACTTTTCAGAGTTGTCGTGAATAAAGAACCAAGGAACCCAAGAGGAGAGTGGAGAAGAAAGCACCTAGTAAGACCTAAGTTACCAGAGACATGGAGGCTGTTTCCTGGAGATAATCCTGAGAGACTTCCCTCCATTTCGGTCTCACCATAAATATGTGATGTGTGCATCCATGAACTGGGGCTGGGAGGAGATACCCAGTCAACATGAGCCCGAAGGCAGAGATGAGGAAACGTGCCTCTTGCTGGGCTTCTCTCCTGGTGCCGGGTGGCACTGCCATCCCCACCCCAGTCCCTCTCTCTGGGCACTGCCCTAGAATAGGAAGTTGGGAAGGTTACTAGGCCACTGAATTTCTGGGCGGCAGAACTGAGGAGCTTTGAGAACTCCAGTCCAATCTACATCTGTCACAGGTGGAAAATGAGGACAGAACAGTCTGCCTAGGCATGGAGCCCTCCCAAATTGCAGAGTCTGGGTTGGCAACAGCTCATTCCATGCCAGAGGGACCTCAAGGCCTTGATTATAGACTCCTCAATGACTGCTCTCTCACAGCCAGCTAGCCGGGCAGTCTGGCCTCAGTCACTTTCCAGCCCAGAGTCCCTGTACAATTGGGTAAGACCTCCAGATCGTTCCAGCATGGGAATAATCCAGACTGCTGGTCCCTAGTCTGGATTATTCTTATCTCCAAGATGAAGAAGCGCAGAACTAATTATCAAGATTGTGGGGACCAGCAGTTGGCACAATGGCTATGTCATTGGACTCCCATGTAGTCAACCATGGTTTGAGCCCCGGACCTGATGGCTTAACCTCACACCAGGTGCAAGTGCGTGCGTGTACAAGATCCCAAGAGGAGAATGGAGAAGGGACTGCGGCATGGCCAACCCCCCTGGGGGGTGATTTCTTGCTTTCTGTCTCCCTGTCTCTTTCTTTCTGGTGAGCGCACATGCCCTATACCAAAAACCTCTCAAAAAAAAAAAAAAAAAGAACATATACACATCTTCTTTCTTAGGTTCTGGAATGGTCCTGGCCATAGGATTCTGGAAGGATGGGTGGCCATGGGAGGCAAGGCCAGTGGCCCATGAGGTTGCTCCTGCTCCCCCAGGGAGGGTCGCTGTGAGTGGAAGAGCCTGGGCAATGCTGCAGCCTGACCCAGGGCTGCCTGCCCACTCTCTGCAAATGTGCTTTCCAAGACACTGGGAGTGGGAAGGCACTGCTTGGGGAGGAAGGAAAGGCCAGCACGGTCCAGACCTCATCCCTCACCACCTAGTGCTGGCATAATACGAGAAAGGGATGTGAGCAGGCTGTGGCTACCGTCAATAAGCTGGGGCTCTAAGGATACCTCATTTGTGGCCAGAACCAGAAATGTGTGTTTCAGAGGACCTAATAGCAACAAACCGACAAACCAACAGGACACAGCCATTTACCTGTCCCAAACCTTGGAGGGCTGAAGTCTGGCTTCCTGCATTAATGTGTCACTGCTTACTCCAACCCTTGCCAGAGTGGCCCATCCACTTTTTGACTGTCTCCACCACGAGTCAGTCAACACCCAACTAACCGCAGCCTTTAGCTGTTCTGTGAATTCCTCGTGTGTATCCAGTTAGGTATGACTCCTCTGAAAGCTTGCTCTGGGACTTTAACTTCAGCTATTTCCAGGGAAGAAATCTGGCATAGTACCAGAAGCTGGGAATATAGCACTGAATTCCCAGGGCCTCTGACTCTGCAGAGTAGTCCAGTTGGGAGACATGGATAAGCAAATGGGATCAGGTCACACCCCAAGAGAATCTCTCTGTCTAAGGCTCAGAAAGGCTTCCAGGAAGATGCAATGAAGGAACTGAGTTTCACAGGGTGAGGATGGATAGCAACATCGAGAGAGGGGAAGAGCTGTGCAGGGTGTGGTCACTAGCCTGTAACAATAGCAACAGCGGCCATTGATGTGGCTTCAGGATTTATAAAGCGCTTTCTGTAGAGGAAGCTCTTCTGCTACTGCCCAGAAAAGGCTGGGAGCCATTTCTACCTCTCTCTGCACCACAGCCCCATTGCATCACTATTCAGAAGGCTCTAGACCCAACACAGAGAGAGTGGACCTTTGGCTTGACACTGGCCTCCAGCAGCGCACAGACCCACTGCTGGGGACCTGAGCCCAGGAACGGCAAATACTCACTGTATCAGCACACACGTGATGATGAGGATGGCCAAGGCCACGAGGGACACCACCACCAAGGCGGTGATGGCCTGCTTCTTCTGGCTGGCGGCCACCACGGCCAGGAGGTCTGCATGCTCACAACGTGCACCAATATATCCGGAATGACAGCTGGAAAAGAAAGGAATATGAGTGCTCTCTCCCAACTCCCCAGAAAGGGCTGGGCTCAAGGGCACCAGAGTCCAGAGAAATAGCCTACACGGACCCCTTGACTCTCTGCTATTAGAAGCACAGTTGTCAGCAAGACTTACTTCCTGGACACAGGTACCACTTGCTTGGAGAAGGGTGGGGTTACTAATCATATATGTGTATAGAAACACACAAATACACATTTTAATTGCCAAACAGTGTGTGTGCTCAGCAGAGAGAGAGAGAGAGAGAGAGAGAGAGAGAGAGAGAGAGAGAACGAGAGAATGAGAGCTTCTCAATGGGGTATGGTCACGCTACAATCCTTTCTCTATTTCTCCCCTTCCCCGGCAAGGATTTTGGGCACACGTGCACACATGCCCAACATGTTTTTCGAGCTGCAGGGTTGGGATTTCTTCTGTGGTCAGCCGAGAGAGATCCCACTCCTTTAACCACCAGGCTATGGTGCTGGCCTAGAAGGAATCATCTTTATCATCTGAGGATAACAAGGCTGTGAAAGCCCCTCATGACATTGGTACCATGCTAAAACTGGGGGGAATAAAGGAAGCAAACGTGCTTACAAAACGAACTTCCTTTTGGCAGTTCATAAAAATCCAGGTTATTTTTAAACCCAATGTGTGCAGAGAAATTCTGATGATGAGAGAAAGAAAACATGCTAAACCAGTTGGAGACACAGGCTGTGGTTTGCTCTTTTATCGTCTTCATCAGGCTGAATTATTTCTGCAGGTATTTACCAGATGGCCTGGTGCAGGGGGAGTGTCTTGAAGTAGACAGGCAGGAGGGCCCAGCACCACTGCCTGGTCATTTCAGGACTGAAGTCACCGATCTCCTGTGACCCCTGGTGTCCTTGTGTTCAGCAATACCTGACCTAGCTCCACTGCAGGATTAGTAAGGAGAGGCGTGGTCATGTCTGAATGTGCATGCAGGTGTTAAATGCTACACACACACACACACACACACACACACACACACACACACACACACGGTGACAGATACTATGACGGCTAAGACTCAGAGGGTCTTTGCCATCCATCATTTTGACAATAGTCTCCTGCTATGTACAAGTGGTTCTCACTTGACGGTGTTTCAGGACAGGCCTTTTCCATCCCCCTAAGGCAGGGATAGTAATTTTCTTTAACCGGCATCACCCTCCCGGGCACATGGTTCTTCTCAATAGAAGATACTTAGACAAACACTTGTCCTTCCGTATGGGGTGGCATTCGTCCTGCCAGTGAAGATGTCTGATCACCATCTCCTTCTCAGGCATGGTGGCTTCCTTCCCCCAGGGGACTTCCCTGAGGGGCAGCACCACACTACAGGCCGGATTTAAGTTTTTGTTTTATTCCTCACCTCACCCCCCTAGATGTGGCAATGATAGCTAAGCTTTATTTTTTTTTTTTCCTCCTTAAGAGTCTTCCTTTTGATTAATTAACTAGACTGCAACCTTCACTTTCACATTAAAAGGCCTTTGAAGAACAAGGAGAACTGAAAGGAGATGAACGGTTCTGGCGTTTGTGCCAGGACTACCTCCAGGGACACTCTATCTGTGATTCCCCTAAACCTATACTCCTGGGCTGCCAGATCCCGAGGGTCAGAGGGTACCTGGAACCACAGGATAAATGCTATATATTTCTGGAGCACAGATTTTGCCCAATATTAACAACAATTGGAGCACTTTAATGCTAAAGGAATAGTTATTGTATGAGTTTAAGCTTTATGCCGCATGGGGAGCAGCAGGTGGTATGGAGGTAAAGGTGGCTGGATCCCTCATGGCTGACTGAGTCATTCAAGTACTGGACCTGGCAACTCGGAAAGCATGCTGGGCGCATGTGCGTGCATGCCCAAAATCCTTAGCGGAGAATGGAGGAGAAGGAACTGTGGCATGGTCATCCCCCCTGGGGGGTGATTTCTCACTTTTCCTCTCTCTCTGTCTCTCTCCAGCAAGTGCATGTGCCCTATTAAAAAATAAAGTAAGTCCTTTAAAACATTTTTATGTCAAACAGGAGATGCTGCAACAATTGCTTCTCAAGGCCTGGGGTACAAGGGTGGACAAGCTTTCTGTGTCTGATGCTCCTTGATGGAAAAACCTTCCACTGACTCTCTTTTTCCCAAAGCCCAATTGTCATGCAATGGGGCATTTTAAGTTAGAATCAAGGTCATTTTAGTTAGAACTAAGGCACCTGTCTCTGTGAAGGGTTATTTTACATTTTATTTTACATTTGACATACGCTTTCTCATTTAATCCTCGTTGGAAGTCAAATCATTTGCCTGTGCTCACTCTGCTAGGACTAGAGACACATGGTCCCCAGGCCTGCTGACCCAGTCTGGGCTCCCTCTCATTCATCAGGCTGCTTCCCCTGCATACTACGCAGGGATCGGTGAGAAGGGCACGGATTAAGCTCTTTACCAAATCTGGCTCTTGGTCTAGGTTCCAATCGTGAAAGGGTAAAAAAGATGTGAGAGTTTTAGTTCTGGGAGGTGCGAAGGTTTTTCCATCTTTGGTAAGGAAGCTGAGAAGAGCCTACTAGTATAGAAAATGTCATGGAGACTTGGGGAGAACAGAGTAGGAAAATGGGGTGTTGGAGGGGAAATCTCTACTAGGAAGACCTTTCTCTTTTTTTCTTTTTTGGAGAGATTTTCACTATAGGGCGCATGCGCTCGCCAGACAGACAGAGACATAGAGACAGAAAGCGAGAAATCACCCCCCAGGGGGGATGGTCACGCCGCAATCCCTTCTCCTCCATTCTCCTCTCGGGATCTCGGGCATGCACGCACACGTGACTGGCATGAGTTTTAAGCCACCGGGTCCGGGACGTGAACCGCAGTCGACCCTGTGGAAGTCCAGCGACATAGCCATTACGCTAACTGCTGGTTCCCGACTAGGAAGACCTTTCTTGAAAAAAAAAAATATGGATCATAGAACTCGGAACAAGAACACTGACTCTCATTGGGGTATGGGGCAAGGACAGGTTTTGTTTTTTGTTTGGTTTGATTTTGGTTACAAAATATTACAAAAGCAGACAAACAGCTCACCCCCATAGGCACTGGCCCTAGTCCATGAGGGGGAGGCAGACTGAGAGGTGCTAAGCAACTGCTTAGGTGGTGGTGTGGACATCTGAGCTATGAATGTCTAATGCACATTCTCTCTACAGAGGGTACCTCCACCAGCCCAGCCTCAATTTTACCCTGCATGTAGACGGCCTCCCTACCTTCCAGAGGGGCTCCTGAATTGCTTCCTTTTTGTAACATCCCTTTAACATCTCTTCCCTGTAGGGCTCTAATCCACCTTCTCTGGTTGAGTTCCTACCACTCAGGTTCCAGCCAATCTGTTGTTGCCTGCCCCTCCTCACTAGCCCAGTGTTAAATCTGTATGCCACCCCTAGCAGAGTGCTCGGCACATAAGCACTCAGCACAGGCCTGCAGAACGCAGGGAGGGTGACCCTCTACTTGCCTATCTCAGCCCCTGCCGTAGTCTCTGCCTCGTATATTCCTCACTCTTCTCTTCAGATTCTATTTCAAAGACCACATTCTTCACATCATGTTATTTACATGCTCATTCATTCATTCATTCATTCATTTGTTCAGTCACTCATCCACCCATGTTTCCACAGCTCATGCAATGGCTCTCCCTAACCTCTGTTTCTCTGAACACCCCCAGGACTATGCCCATCTCCCTGACTGTTCTTCTGGCCCTAGCCTCCCTTACGGCCAGTCTCCTTGCCCCTGCAGGGTAGGGCCTAGCTCTATAAAACACTCAGGCAGACCACTGAGCAGCACAGGCAGGGGAGTAGGCACAGGGTGGATTGTAGGATTTCTAATCAGGAGTTGTAGCCATGCTAATAGGACTTTGTAGAAGGGTGTGAGTGCTGTTCCATCCTGGGGAAGGATAATGTAACGAGGATTTGCTGAGATCTTTTGTGACAGGCCTGGGGTACGGGAGGGTGAGCACTCTGTGACAATTTTACAAAGATCTGAAATGTTCTTACTCTAACCAGCATCCCTGGGATAGGATTCTAACACTTCACCAACTAGTTGGTTCTGAAAACCTACGGATTAAATCAGAGCTGGAGTCAAACCCTTACATGAATTACCTCTTTAATCCCAATAATCATAATTGCTGTGTCAGGTTGGCTTCATGATATATCTTGTTTTACATGTGAAGAAATAGAAGCTTCTTGAAGTTTGAAAATTAACAATTGCAGGGAGCAGCAGATGGTATAGCAGTTACGTTGCTGGACTCCCATACAGTCAACTGCAGTTTGAGTCTTGGATCGGGTATCTTAAAACTCATGCTGGGTGCATGTGTGTGCATGCCCAAAATCCCGAGAGGAGACTGGAGGAGAAGGGATTGTGGCCTGGCCATCCTCCCTGGGGGGTGATTTCTTACTTTCTGTTTCTCCAGTGAGTGCACACTCCCTATAGCAAAAATCTCTCTCCAAAAAAAAAAAAAAAAAAAGAAAAAAAAAGAAAAGAAAAATGACAACTGCAACAATTATGGCTACTTCTATGGGTTAATGCAAATTGGTTTGGAAGATAACCTGGGCTATCTAAAGACAGATGGGCTGATGACTCCTCCATTGAAGCTGTCCATGTGACAAGGTGCAAAGATGTTCCCCATGTCTTTACTAAGTAAGGGAAGTAATTTCCTGGGTTGGGTCAAACTTGGCTAACTCTGTTTCTCCTACCAAGCATGCCTATAGTGGGACTGGCTTGAGACTGGGGGTGAACTGCAGCATGGAGTCCCCGTCAGAGGGGCTGAGTCTGGGAGTGAACTGTGGCATGGAGTCCCTGTCAGAGGGGGCAAGTCTGGGGGTGAACTGTGGCATGGAGTCCCCATCAGAGGGGCTGAGTCTGGAAGTGAACTGCGGCATGGAGTCCCTGTCAGAGGGGGCGAGTCTGGGGGTGAACTGTGGCATGGAGACTGCATTGAGGTACTGTCTTTTTGTCTTGTTCTGGCTCATAGA